ACATAAGTCTCTACCTCGAGTGGACCCCGGAAAGAAACAATACAATAGTGTTTGGGCGTGATAAATATCTGTTGCAATGCCGGATGACGCAATATTTATCAAGGCAAGACAAATTTCATCATACACCCCGAAAATTCATTCTTATACTGCACACCGTTGCAAATGACCTAATCTGAGGAAAAAATAGAAAGCATTTACACCCTGTCACTCCAGTGGGTCTAAAACTGACTGTATGGTGAAAGAAAGGAAACTAAAACGGTTATTTCAATTCATTTTCACAAAGGAGTATGTACTTTTCAGCACTATCTTCATAAAGAGTAAGATAAACTAAGGAAAGTGAAGCGCACACCAACCCTCCAAGGAAATAAATGTCTGCTTTGAAAATCAACATTCATTGGCTTAGCTTAAAACAACCTGATTGGTTGATAAACCATTCAGGGGTAGAAAAATAACTTCTGGGGAAATTCATGCCTGTAAAGGTTTTCTATTGCCAAGATACTGACAGATAGATCGCTTCTGAAATCAAGCATTTTAAGGAGTGCTTTAAAAAAAAACGGGTCATCAACACTGTGACTCATCATTACATGATCGAGTGTGATCTTAAGGTCGTTCATCATCTGACTACTTGGCAGGTTCTCTCCATAACTGATATTCATTCCTATGTTGTGTATCTTGGACAAGTAAACCTGGCGTAGCCCATCCCTCTCCAGGTTAAACCACAGCTGATGTCTTCCATAGTGAGGACGTGCGTTAGTCACGGACACATGATCTTTGATTCCATTGGAGTAACGTTGACTTCAGCTGATTTAGTTAAAAATAATAATTTACCTCTTAGAACAAAATTAAATAGAACAAATATTATTTACAAATTTAAATGTTCATTAAGGAATTTTATTCCTAATCAATCAAAATTCGTAAATAATTATATAGGTCAAACTACAACATGTTTGACAAAAAGAATCACGCTACATCTCTCTGACCATAGCTCAATTAGGTCTCATTTAAATACTCATGGAGACCTACTGAACCCTATTCGTAACATAGTTGTTGATAACACAAATATAATAGCATTGTCCACATGTAAAAAAAAACCTAAAAATAATGGAAGCCACAATAATAAAAACAAAAAAAGCAACCCTCAATAATATCAATATCAGCTATGAACATGGACACCATATCTTGATCGTGTTATGAAAATGAATATATATTATATAAATAGACACATGCAACAATCTATTTCTTGTTAACAGTCAATATATCTTAACCTTGAAAAGGGCTAAATGTAGAGCCGAGAGCGTTCGGAAAATCGAAAAATTGGACTTTTGTTATAGAATGTAAAAAAATATAAGATCACATGAGAAATAGTATAAAAAACTAAATCAAATCTGTCATATTCAAAGAAATGAGCATGAAAGAACAATTGCAGCCTACATAGACGAATATGAAGAAAAATATACAGAAAAAACAAACAAAAATCTTAATATGCAATTATGCTGTATTAATGTTAATATAAAGTCAACGTCGGACGTTTCGGTCTATTAATTTAGACCATTATCAGGACATATTCATAAAACATAATTAACATTACAACATATAAAATTCAACATGAAAAAGACGATGGACATAAGAGCACAACACCAAACAGATAATTGAATTTTTTTATATAAGATCAGCGTTCCGTTTAAATATGATCACGTCGTCGTCACGTGGGCGATGTTGTGAAAACGTATTCGAAGATGATTTCAAAATATTAAAATATTAAACAAGCTCGATTGAACTATTTTCTCATATAAACAGTTCGTCAAGAAATCCCTTCCATTGATATATGAATACACAGAGATCAATAGGTTCTTATATTTTCATACAAGCTTGAAGTCTTCCATGTTATAAAGTAAATCAAAAATGATTTCAAAATATTAGATAGGCACGATGGAACAATTTTCTCATAAACAGTTCGTTAAGAAATCCTTTCCTTACTTACAGGAATAGGCGGAGATCAATAGATTCTTATATATTCGTACATATGTGTGTGTGCACGCGCATGCGGGTGTGTATATCACTTTAAAAAGCAGAAATTAAAACACTCGCATCAAAGAGCACAAAAGAGACCTCATAAATAACAATTTGAAAATTCCCTGGTGAAAAATAGAAATAAATTCAACCTGAGCATGAAACAGACTGTCACCGCTGTGTATTGACTTCAGGATCCACTTTTATATATATATATATATATATATATATATATATATATATTTGGTTGGATAGATGTGAGTTTGTGACCCTGGGTTTCACGCTTTAGCGATCGTCAGACAAACTGATTAATGTTTTAAAAAATTTGGGTTTATGTAGATTGTGTGTATTGGTGTTATTGTGGAAGTGGTGGGGGAAACTTCGTCGTTTTGTCATTCATCGTACTAACGCAAACATCGATGTATGCAGACACATATACATACTTGGTCGTCAGTCGGGACTCATACATATATAAACACATGTGGGCAGTTTCGGATATGATATATATGTATGTATACAGGTGGTGTTATGTCTATACATACGCATTTGTATGTTGAAATGTTGAGATAAGTACCGCGCATATAATATATAATATTATATTATACATATATATATTTATTTATTATTATATTATACATATATATATTTATTATTATATTATACATATATATATTTTATTTATATATTATACATATATATATTTATTTATATTTATATACACTTTTCACATATATATATATATATATATATATATATATATATATATATATATATATATATATATATATATATATATAAGATTTAATAAACAGCAGATATTTCTATATATAGTACTCAATATTTCAAATAGAGTGTTAATATTATATGAAAAAATTAC